TTTTAACTTGAAATTTAGAAGTTAATGTAACCAAAGTTATCTTGAACTCTGGGCTCTTACGAACCTTTTCATGGTACGCAAAGATACGAATTAAAACAGCCCACATATCAGAGGTGAGCAAAGACAAATTAAGCATTGTAGAACCACTAATCTGCATTGGAAGGTTACAAAATGTATTCATCATAAAAAAAAAAGAGCTGATACGAATTCTCAAGACACAAAGAAAATTATCAAAATGATTTAAATGTTGGTTCTATCTTCAAGTCTATTGTTGACTGCTAAAGTGGACGGTAGAGAAGTTTTAACGTCAACTGATATCCTTGCATAAGTTAAAAGGACAACAAAACCATAATCTACAATGCAAATTAAAAAATGAGGAAAGATGCAGCTACAAAATATAGTGCACAGAGGAATAGATAAATAAATCTTCCACATATTTAAAACAATAATATCCTCCCTAGAACAGGGAAGCCAAAAAGCACAGCTTCAATGGGATCAAGCTACCTCATTAGGGTAACCAAATAGTCGAATATACTTAATAGGGTTTTGGAACTTATGGCTAACCCTGTTGGGTTTGAAATTACCCAAACCTACCAGTTAACCGAGCTCAATCACAATATTTACTGACTACCGTTACTATTAATTTTTATATATGCACATAGTTTCTTCCTACTAAGATATATAAAAATATGAAAGAAAATTATCTTAAACTCATTTCTATTTGATTTTCTATAGTTTACTTTCAATTGTTTTATCTGTACGTGTACTATTGCAATTTTGACAATGTTTCAAATAAAAATTTAATGAATTGAATGCATTTCCACTTTCATCTACATTCTGTTAAAGAATTTTTATGACATTTTATGTTGTCAGTAATAATTTTTTTTGCTAATAATATGTGGATGGCTCAGTTCTCCAAAAGATTAATTTACGGGCTAAAATAAAAGGCTAGCATTTGGAAATAAGATTAGAAGAATGTATGGAACCTTATTTGGCTGCAAAGTAGGGCAGCAAAGTGGGGTTCAGTTCGGGGAACAAATTGTGTGGGTCACTAACCCATTGCCATACTAGTTAGGGTAGACGAACAAAGTCTTACCTTTAATAAGATCGGAACACCAGAGTAAAACAAAAACATGGCCACCGAAAATCCGACAAAAGGAAGCGCCTGAAACAAAAAACAAAAAACAAAAAATAATAATCAACATGGATATCATATTTTAATTTTTAGGTCTATTTTGGATAATGATCATTAGAATATATGCACTTGAAAGCCGAGGTATGTTATTTAAAATTCCATACAAAGTCAAACTCAATAAGATATTTCGTTACTGTGTCTCCTCTTACTATCAAATGCTTTATAGTCCTTCAACCTGTTCAGCTGATTTGCAATTTTCTCACTCGAATATCAAGAAAAGACAAGGCAAAAGGAGGACAATTGTTTCAATAATTCATGCTTCAGCAGTTCTTTATGTAATTATCTTTCGCTATTAAAAAAATTTCAACTTTATCCGACAGAATCAGAGAAGACAGACAGTGCTTAATATATAATACAAAGTCCTAAGTTTGTCTAGTCAAACCTATATCACAGCACGAAATCAGAAAAGATTAAAGAAGATTATGACAAAATATTTCTTCTATCGCATGATTTAGGACATGGAGAAATATGCACATGAATCATCCAAGGCAAAAGAGGGAGGAATAGACAGTCAAAATTAACATAGCATGTGGTAGTTGCTAAAGATATAGTTGCTTTAGATCTTCGATTAGACCTAGCAATGAACTGAACTGTAGAAAAAGATTCATGTAATCGACCCCAAATTCACAATGAAATGAACAAAAGAAAAGGATTCATATAGCCGACCCCAAATTCATAGGAGAAAAAGCCTTAATTTTTTGTTGTAATTGTTGGTGCACGCGTATCATCCACGATAGTCCTATCACTTCCCATTTAATAGGAAATTTGTACGCTAAAGTGTACTTGTTAGGGTATGATACAAAATTTTAAGAAGTTAATCCAGTTAAATCTCGATCTGAGCACCAATTAGAAAGAGAATAAAGAAAGAGATCATGTACATAAATCATCCAGAAAACTCATTACACTCCACATTCATCAGGAAAATTGTTTCACTGAAGGCCGAAGCTATCAGGGGAGGGGGAGAGAGAGCACAGATACTTACCGCCCCAGCTGACCAGTGAATACTTTTAAGTTCATCGCGTTCAAGTATGCTTCTACAGGCATGGTTAAAGAAGTCATTTGATCATAGAGACTTAATTACCAAGAAAAATTTAGACACTGTTTGATAGGGATTAAATCAGATTTTTAGTAAATTTTGATAAAAGTTGATGAAATGTAGAGTTGAAAAGTTGTGGGTCCATGAAATATGTGGTTAAAATTAATTTTTGATTTTAACTTGGATTAAAATCTAAATTTTAATCCCTACCAAATAGAGACTTAATAAATCAATATCTCGTCAAGAAATGTTAACCTATAAAGGCTATGTAACAATAACAGAATATGCTTAAATTATAATGTGAATAAATTATACAATAAAAGATTAGCATAGCAACCAAGGATACATTTGGATAGCGCTGACAATGGCACCAAAAATTCCCAAGAATGACATGAGTTCAACTCTATCAGCACTTTTAACGAAAAATTCCTGCATAGAACAAGAAAAACAAGGATTAACACTTCAATTGCAGAGGTGAAGGAAAAACCAAAAATTTCACTAAGGATGAACTTTAACATGATGGAAATATGCAAAAATAACAAATGGAAATTTATCTTAAAAACTAATAACTATTAAAAGAAAGTTTATCAAAATAAATTGGAATAAAAGAAAATAAATCGGAGTATACTTTCTACTTTTACGCCTGAGATAAAAGCACATTTTTCACATACATTTGATGACATCTCCCTTCATAGGCCATCATGCTTAAAGGGGAGCATTAAAATACTTCAAGAAAACAAGAGAAGGATGGGTGGAAGTCAATAAAAAGGAGGGAGATAAGGAAGAAAACATGCACACGGAATATATAAAAATGCATAAAGGTAAAATGGGGAGGAGAGTGTATGTAAAACACAACTAAGGTGCAGTTACTCTTAAAAAGGACATGTATAGAACAAAAATGAAAAATAGAAAAGTTAATGGCTAGCAAAAGAAGAAAAGAAGGACAGAAAGAAAGAAACACAAGCATGTAGAATGATAAAAAAATGTACAAGACCGAGAATGAGAAGAGGCCCAATATCGTGTGTTTAAATACAAGGAAAGATGGATTGATAGAAACAACTATAACATTACAGAACTAATACCTACAAGGGAATGCAGGGGAAAAAATTGAAGAAAAAGAAGGGGGATATAAGAAATGAAGGAAAGAAACATGCCTGTGAAAAATAACAAAAATGTACAAGAACCAGCAGAAGGAAGAGGGTGTGTGAGAGCATAGAGAGAGAGACAACAATACGAGGACTGTATGGGAACAAAAAATGAAAAACAATCGAGAACATAGTGTCAATTACAAGGGAAACTATACATATGTATAAATCCTTTACCAATTGAAAAGAGAAAATAAA